TAAGGTTCGTCCGTGTAGACGTAGCTGTATAGCCTCGTCTACACCACGGAACGTACTTTAACTTCGGTTTAAGCGTGTAACTATGTGAGTAGCCGTCTATGTAGCAGCCTGTCCACACGACAAGACACCGCGGTATAAGCGGTTGGTTACCGATTTATATAGCTGGTGCGTGCGTGTGTATGGTAAAACGTGCGTGCGTGTTGGATGCGTGCGTGATGCGTGTCTGCACGTACACGTGCCTGGCATGCGTCGACTGCGTACATGTGCGTGCATGTGTGGCGGTGCAGTGCGATGTGCAGTACACGGCGTCGAGTTCGTACATGTGCGTGGCGTGCGCGCGGTGTGACAGGCTACCACGATTCGTTCGTGCGCTGGCGTGCGTGGTGCACGTAGCACGTGCGTGCGTGCATGCATGGCCATGTGCCACGTACACGTGCCGTGCGTGCGTGGGCTATGCATGTAACACGTGGCGTGCATGAGTGTGTGCGTGCGTGTGAACGTACACGGCGCTGCATGCACGCGTTGCAGGGTACACGCTTCGTGGCGTGTGGTGCGTGTCTGGCATGCGTGTGCATCGTACACGTGCGTGCGTGGCTGTGCGTGTGTGTGCGCACGTACACATGCGTGCATTGTGTACGTACATCGTACTAGTGCTGGCGCCTATCGTGGAGGTTAAGCTAACTCGAGTTAAGCGTCTACACGGGCCTTAACTCGAGTTAGCTTAACCTGCGATCGACTTGGCAGAGGTAAGCTTTAACCTCGAGTTAAGGCCCCATGTAGACGCTTAACTCGAGTTAAGGTTCGTCGTGTAGACGTAGCTTATGTCTGTATTTCACTTTATGCGCGTGTGCAATCAATCAATCCCTTATTACATGAATTAATCAATCACCACATACATACAAATAATAACACATTGAAAAACAACAAGGTTTTATATTGATGAGCTTGCTTTTATTTCAAACCAACCCTTTTTATCCGTACACACATCCACATAATGTTAATACAATGCGTAATCTGACAAAGGAGATTCAAGACAATAAAGTTGTGACTTCTTCATCATATAAGAAAATCACTTTCTATACTGTAAAATAATGAGATTGAAATGAAGTTGAATCGCGCACTTGAGCTTCCCCATAACAACAAATTGCTCTCATCGATTATTTTTTAAAGAAATATATTGTCAAGAGATGCTAACACAGTTTTACTTCACCCTTGCAATGGAGAACTATATTCCTACGTTGGATAGTCCACCATATAACGTGTAATAGAGTTTATAATTTTAATCACTTAACCGACTCCGTGTGTATAAATGTAGCACAGGTGCAATACTTTAGCAACGGTTTGCAAACTTCACAATGTTTGCACAAGGTGGACCTCACAACATGAAATTCTTTGGATTCAAGCACTCATTGTCCAAATGCTGACTAGCAAATGAAGTAGGCCTAAGAGTGGTTATGCGTGTAATACTGGTTTCTTCTATCACAGTTGTCAACTTTATAGTCCATGCAATGAATTAATAGGTATTTATCTAGTGTTTAAATTTTGCTTATCATAACTAGCATTTGACATAATTACTAGATAAATTACAGGCACGGGCAATTTAGTCATTAATGACACTATAAATTGACCTGTTCATACATTACTCTTCCCCTCATGTGAAACATGTTCACATACAACACCGAAAAATCAATAAACCATTAGATTAGATTATGCAATTCACATGTGCATTAGATACATTAAAACGGTCACTTTACATCAGTAAATGATGGAAAACATAAGATTGGTGGTGCAACTACCACACCGACGGTTTTTACTATACAACTGAATGATACCACAACACGTCACTCCGACGTTTTAGTTTGGACGTTACGGCTATCCAGTGGGTGCTCTCATATGCATGCATGATTCCAAGTGAGCAAGATTAACCTGCAGTGTTGCTCATAGGGTCTATGTCTCCCAGGGTACTGCCAGAACGTACCCTGGTAAATATTTGATATGGTTAGGGTTAGGGTTAGGGTTAGGGTTAGGGTTAGGGTTAGGGTTAGGGATAGGGTTAGGGTTAGGGATAGGGTTAGGGTTAGGGATAGGGTTAGGGTTAGGGATAGGGTTAGGGTTAGGGTTAGGGTTAGGGTTAGGGATAGGGTTAGGGTTAGGGAGTAGGCATAGGTGACTCCCTAGACTCGTTAGTGGAGTAGGCGAGGTACGGTCCGGCATATTAGATAGTACTAGGGTATGTTCCGGTATACCGCACCGTACCCAGGGTACCCTCCGGCAGTACCCTGGGGGACATAGACCCTCTCAGCCAGTGTTGATTAGAATTTCGAAGCCCGTATTGCTTTCAGCAATTTATTAATGCTTCTTTAGAAAAAGTGGCAAAAAATTCAGTAATTCAGATATTTTTAATTAACTGTGGAAGCATTCTCCTATATTTGCACTACGCTAATCATTTGAATGCATGTATATTGAATTGCTGGTATTCACCTCTCTAATCATTAATTAGAGGATACATGTTTGGATATTACAGTTGCTTGCACATTATTTGGAGTATGTAATGAGTACGAGATATAAGATCATAATCACGACACCTCATGTGCGACTCTCAGGTGGACATTGCATGTTGATAAGACAACGATAAAACCCTAATATTACTACATATTGTATAATATCAGGGGTAGATAATGACAAAGGATTTGTCATTATCTACCCCTGATAATATACTACTCTTCTCTTTGTCAACTCTTTTTGATGTGATCATAACATGCATGTATATTGTGCCACTATTATGCACACCGCTTGTCAAAAACTAGACTAGGATTACATATATCTCTATATATATATGCACTGCATGTATTTGCTGTAGTATTCATGTAACTCCGAAACCCCCCTTCGGTTCTCGCCTAGTGAGCATTCTTTGTATCAACAGGAACAGGAAGTTCAGCCATAAAGAGATGATCAGCATTATGTAGCCAGCAGACTTATTCAATAAAAGTATTGTTATTAAATCCAGACTTATCGTCAATTCACTTAGCCTACAGCATCACAATTGCCAACCACAAATATATTTTCAGAGTAAATATAATAGAACTGACACTGTTTAGTGCATGGTCCTCGACCTTTCTTTTTCAGTACTTGTCTAACACCCAGTAGGCAGTACAATACAAACGTTGTTTATTGCACACAACACACAAACCTTTTTAAAACCATTGTAACAGATCTATACCAACCCTTTTGGTAAAAAGCAGGCACCACGATTTATTTTTCACAAAACATATTTCATCATCTCTGCACATTTTCTCATTTACCTTTGAGATATTCCCCCTGAAGCATTACTGGAAACTCACATTTCTATGTAGAAAGGAGTAAAATTGTGAAAGGCTACATTCTCCAACCACTGTCTGAGCAAATGCACTGACCCCGCACGGCGTATCCTTCTGGGTAGGTTTAACAAAATGTTTATGCTTTCCCATCCTGAAACAGAGTCAAATCATGGGCAAGGCTAGAAATCACTGCAATTCCACACAGCTCGTGGAGACGCTGTCAATGTGTTCGCGAAGTCAATGCAGATTTTACACACGTGAATTTAACGATACTTCGAAAAAATTGAATTACAACAAACAAAATCCTGAATACCTGAATACCCCCAACATACGCACCATACCCAGTGCTATACCATATTATATATAAATGGAGGGGGTGATGAACATGGACGATATACATCACCCCTCCCATTTCTACAACCGTGACGACGCATGCGACACCACACTGTACCGCCACGACCACGAGCGCGAGCGGTGTACCCACCTTGACGTCCTTGCCATAGTAGTAGTTGGTCGGGATGACGCTGCTCACGGCGCTCGCCATCTTTCCTGCGGCGCGCGACACTCCGCCCGTGAATCCCTCCTTCAGGCCATACAGGTCCGGCGCGTACGACCTAGACACAGAACGATAGTCGCATGCATTTCAAAGCGACTGCGTAATCAGCGACTGCGTAACCAGCGACTGCGTAATCAGCGACTGCAATGATAACAATTGCAAAACTAGCCATTTGTTCACTCCGGATCGCCATGTATAAGTCGCTCGACCATTAATCGTGATTGCCTGGATTAACCATTTGTTCACTCCGGATCGCCATATATAGGTCACTCGACCAGCGATAATGATTGGCTGGATTAACTACTTGTTCACTCTGGATGGCTCCACTGGATTCCACTGTACTCCGGATCACCACATGTAATGGCGCCTCAGTGATTGTGATTTTACTTTTGCTTTGGCGCAGCTTTTGCTCTTAAGGCTACTCAGATTAAATAATGTATATATATGGATGGATGAAAACAGCCAATCAAGGGTTGTTGTTACACCTGTCTGGCTTCCTATGCAGACAAACCACCACCAGAATGACAACAACAACAACTACAACAACAAAGAACCACCACCACCATTACCACAACAGCAGCAGCAGCACCACCACCACCAAAACCACAACAGCAGCAGCAGCACCACCACCACCAAAACCACAACAGCAGCAGCAGCAGCAGCAGCAGCACCACCACCAAAACCACAACAACAGCAGCAGCAGCAGCAAAAGCAGCAGCATCAATAGCAACAACGTATATGCTAGGGCCAGCTAGGCAATTCCTTACCTAATATATTCAACTTTCGTCTGCGCCCGAGACTCGCCCGATTTGTCGGAGAAAAAGTCCGCACTGGAGATGGAGGTGCAGTCATTGAAACGAGCCAAGTTCTCCTGGTGAGTGGACTGTTGTTGCTAAATCAGAAATAAAAAAATGCATTAACTTAACTTACAAAACCTGAGAACTTGTCATATAACCACAAATCATGTGTATAATACTAATAGAAGAGTCATACAATGCCGAGATCTCCCGATTGCAATTATCCAACGATTAGTTTTAGAAACGTTACCTGGGGCCTCTGTCGGTCGGAGTCTGAGAAAAGCATGTCAGAAGAGATGGCAGACGCATTCTCGAATTTCCTGAGCTTTGTTGTTGTATCTACAGGCTGGCTGGGAGTCGGCTTTTCGTCTGGCTGCATCGTTCTAATTAATCACAGATTCATTAACAACCTTGTCAGTGACAACAACAACAGATCTGATGAGGCAATTACCATTACCCAAATACTCGTTAAAATTGATAATTTGACTAACAATGATACATGATTTTCCTTTTATCTCCAATAACTGCAGATAAATAAGTTATAGGTACTATTAAATTTGAATACAAAAATGTTGAGTCCAACTTAGAATTACTAGCAGCTTTCCATATACTTTTTAGAAAAATCTACAAAATAATACAATAAGTCAATCCAGTCATTAAAACATTGATCAACACTTAGGCGACAATTAAAACAAGTGCCGCGGAGCGACAGCGCTCATCTCTCAGGGGCGGATCCAGGGCTGAACTAGACAGTATTTTTCCAGATTTTAAGGGCACATCCCCAAAAAGGCACACCACCCCACAGTGGCGCCGTCGGCCGCGGAAGCACATGGCGGGGGCCCACAGAGAAATTTTAAAATTTCAAGGGTCCCTGGGCACAAAAAATGAGCACCACTTGAGTACACATTTAGTCAAGCAGCAAATAGCTAAAAACCATATGGAATTTTATTTCTGCTTCATTTTGCTGCGCTTTGCATAATTCAAGCACTTCCCTTCTTTTTCAGATATCAAAGCTGTTTTGTTACCATGTAAAATTTTGATTTCCTTTCCTGTCAATGAATCAGAAGAAAAAGAAAACAAATAAAGATTATAGCCAAATTCCATCAAATTGTTTTCTGTATTTTTTAGCGCAAAATTTCGAAGGGCACTTTGAAATCTAGACCGTATTTACCAATACGGCAATACGGTCTGAATCCGCCCCTGCATCTAACGTCTACTGCGGTGACTCTGTGGTGGAGTGGTGGGATTCTAGTAAACCCTGTTAGTTCCAAATGTGTTCACATACACGCCGAAACAGTGGAAGGCACAGGGATGGTATCAGGAACCTTCTCAAAGGAAGTGTTCGTTGGATCGTTATGAAATTGCCACGAGATGGCGCGTACGTTTAAGTGTCTTAAGGTTAAAGATGGAAGCTCCCATCGTACGTAGTAGCAACAACTATTTGCAAGACAGAATAGGTAAGCACTCATCCATTTACCTACGCAAGCCTACAGGCTGAAATAGAGAGCTGCCACCTGTAACTAATTAACGCAGGCAAAAACTACACAGTAATATAACCACCACATGCACTGGCAGTGGCCCACTGGCAGTGGCATACGTTACATGTAACACACTGACAGTACAGAATGCTATAGAATTATACGATTTAAAGGAGCATAAACCTTCTCCAACCAAATTTAGCTTTGGAAATTTCACTGTGACTTGTAGCCTTCATACATCCAGGCATGTATAGAATCTACTAGCAAACCTGGCAGTCAAATTCTTTTCTAACAGACAGTAAACAAATCCATGTTTTAACCCTCCTCTGAGGGTCAAAAGGTTTTCCGACACTTACTCTTCGCATGTCAGCAGAAGTACATTTCATGGTCCTTTCAATAAAGCCATAAAAATGCTAGGTCACCGCTGAAACAAAAAAGTTTTTCAATCGCTCCGTCAGACCATGTCCTCAGAAAATGTCAAATCTGCCCTTGCCATTGACCTTTGACCTTGTGACTCCAATTTCGGCACATGTGAATGGCTTTTCCTACCATGTGCTGATACACGACTATCCACGAGCCTAGGTCGAGCCGTTTAAGCCAGTCACACTGGGGCCTGGAACTGTCACGGATTAGCGCGGATGGGGCAGGAATCTCCCCGGACCGTAAAATTTTATAATCCGTGGCGATCCGCGGTGAAAAAGCATCATCGGGCCGGATCGGGCCGGACCAGCACGGCAGCGCACGGATCATCCTGGATTGAGACCGGATGAAGCCGGCCCCAGCACGGAGTCACTACGGACCGCCCCGGACCGCCCCGGACTGCCTCGGACCGCCCCGGACGCCCCGGACTGCCTCGGACCGCCACGGACCTGATCCGGCCTGGTCTGGCCCCGTCCTGGCCCATCCGTGCTCCCATCCGTGTTGGGTCCGGCCTGATCCGTAGTGATCCGTGGCGACAAAACGACACGGATGGCCACGGATGGGCCCGGTTCAACACGGTGTGGGCCCGGTTCACAGCGGTGCCACTACGGACTGTCCCGACCTACCACGGACGCGCCACGGACCATCCAGGACCACCCCGGATGGGGAAAACTTCCCGGACCGTCCCGGATCACCCCGGAAATTTTAAACAGTTTAAACTTCCGGGGCGATATCCCGGAATGCGCAGGACCATCAAGGACCACCCGGACCGGGCCGCGACCGCCAGGACCAACAAGGATCTCTCCTGGATTCAGTCCGGCAGCGTCCGGCCCGGTCCGGGGAGCTTGGTGCGACTTTAGCTTTAGATTTGTGCCGCAATTCTGCATTTCCTCCCTATACCTTAAGTTAAAGGCATAATAGGGCCATCGATTATGCAATTTTAACGAATGCTAGAGTAACTGGCACCTTGTGTAGTTATAAGTACATTACCTTATAGCCAAACGCGTATTAGTGTTTGTCCAATATCACTGCTGGTTACTAAGAAATGTCTAATTGAATCCGCAGTCCACGAAATATCATTGACTGACTTGTTTACAGTTTCGAAACCGCATACTTCGAACGGTGTACGGTACAGATTTAGAATCCACCGACATTTTTCGCACGCATGCAAAAACGCGAACGCACGCATGCATTTGTCGCTCGGCCGTACGCAATGCATAGCGATAGTACAGTACCGTAACTGTATACGTAACAGTAGCTCTGATTGTAATGAACGTGGAATCCACGTACGAATCACGGACCCTTGTGATAATGAAGTAGGCTGTGTTGGGGGCCAACACTATGGAGGATCGCGGACTAACCACGGCCACAGAGACTAAACATGGAAAGCAGACGGCAATCCGCGTATTTACGTATATTGGTCAAACGAATACACCTGTGTCTGAAATTGAAGACATGTGGGTACCCGTTCATTAGCACCGAAGGTTATTTACTTGTGCCTCAATACCGAGAATACACCCAGAGATACATTCTACTAGCATCATTAGTCGTATATAAGCATCCCGGGACAAACAATTCTCTGCTAAAACACCCGTAGCAACATGTGACGTTGCCTAACCGAGATTCGAGGCTATTTTGCTTGGCAACCATTTAGCGTTGGCGCCAGATTAGCAGATTTACGGATTTCCAATTAGACATTTCTTAGTAATTAGCAGTCGATATTGGACAAACTAATACGCGTTTGACTATAAGTAATGTACTTATTAACTACAGAAGGTGCCAGTTACTGTAGCATTCGTCAACTTTGTATAATCAATGGCCTATATGCCTTTAAGGAGGGAATGTTCCCCTGTCTTTACACCTCTTGACCTTTGACCTTTGACCCCCAGCTTCGACATCCCAACTCGTTTTCGGATTACCCCCCCACGTCCCGAATATCGTGACCGTACGTCAAGCGGTTAAGATTTGTGCCCAACTGTTGACGGACGGACGGACGGACGCACGGAAGCACGGACGGACGATCATGCGATTCTACAAGCTGCATCTGACTATGTCAAATGAGCTAAAAAAAAGAATGGGAAAGATCAATAAAATATTTTGAGTCGGCCCCTTTTTGGCGGGTCGGTCGGGCGAGGGCAAACAAACAATATTTTTATCATGGCCTTAAACACACGTAAAACTGTGTGCATATACTAGAATGTACATGCAAATATATGTGTTAAAAACCGAATTTATCGTTTTAACGTTGAATGGACCATATAAGCAAGCCTTTATATATACCTCCTTTCCTCGGGCATATCTGTTGAAGGGATGTCCTCTTGCTTCTTATCTGGCTGGCTCGACCTCCAGAATCCCATCCAGCCCCGCCCGCTGGCGACGGGTTGGCTCACTTGTTGGGTCTTCTCCTCCCACTCTTCCCCATGCCCTACATCTGTCTCCATCTTTACACCATAGTCAGCATCCCGCTCTTGTTGTGAGACATACCTGAGAGAAAAAGAATATATATCTCTTACATAAAGTGCAAGTCTGTTTTTCGGTCTCTGTCTGTCTGTCTATCTTCTCCCCCCCCCGTAAGAGGTCACCCCTCAACACCATATATATTCTTAATCAGCATGTTGCCACGACCATTTTAGGCACACACAAAAATCAAAACAAAACACAAAATAAAGAAATGTCAAATTACAATTAAACTTATTTATTATTTTAATAAATGTCCGCGCGGTGGCGCTATATACCCTCCTACTGCATCGAGTGCGAATTTTCGCGGTGTTGTTCGCATTTTTACCGGTATTTTTGTAGCTGTATTGTCGAATTACAGCGACAATAAACTAATTATTAGCTTCGAAAGAGACACGAAAGCGTCGTAGACGACTACCATATCTTACTATAATTTGGCGAATGTTGTATGTATGTATGTTAATGAAAGGCTCCGTCAGTTTTGATCCAAATAGCGCCAAATTCACAGAAGAGATCGATGAATACACGGGACGGGTTCTAAACTTTACTCGGTTGAAAACGATAAAAAGGGCTTAAAAAGACAAAAAAAATGGTAAAGATTTGCCTGAAAATAGGGGGCGCTATATCTTTGCCTTGCTAATATTTCGCCGTCTGTGAACGTTGTGCTGTAATATTTCGCCGTCTGTCAACGTTGTGCTGCATGCACAGACATTTTTGTAAGCCCAATAATGTAAGCAAAAATAAGCATATAATAATGAAGTTAAATGTCAATGTCAAGGTCAATCTCTTCTCTTATCTCTCTGGGTATTGAACAGTCGGTACCACATGCATCACAGTCACTAAGCCCGCGCTTAGCGCGGGTTCCAGCTAGTAGGTATAAATGCTGAACTTGCTGCTTATTTTCGTATTTTCGAGTGTTTCTTATGCATCCCCTACAATAAATCGCCGGATCTATCTGTCTGTCTGTCTTCTCGAGACCAGTAAAAGGTGACCCGTGAGGTATATTCTCAATCAGCATGACGCGACGACCATTTTAGGCCAAAAACAATTTGCACAAAAAGGCCAAAATAAGGGGAAAAAACAAACAACAGATTTCCCCCCAAAAAATACTAGCACAGCAGAAAAGTTAACAGCAATCCTAGCACTCGACTATACACTGCAGCAGAAAAGTCAAGACAAATCCTAGCGCAGCAGAAAAGTAAACAGCAATCCTAGCGCTCAACTATAGTCAGGCTCAAAATCAGGCAATCACATGAAATGTTGAAACGGAAGCAATCGTCTTTTGGCAGTTCAACTGCAAGGGCAAAGAAACTGGCCCATCAAACAGCACGCTCTGCAGAGAATGCCAAACAGCGCGAACTCTGCCAAACAAGTGATGCCGCAACCCACCAGAGGTCACGTGCACAGCAGAGTGCAGAACGGCGAGAACTCCGTCAAAGAAGTGATGCCACAACCCACCAGAGGTCACGTGCAGAGGCAAGGAAGGCCAGGCAACATACTGACGACAACATTTCATGGCTCAACGCAGCGTTCTCCTACGACCTCAACAAAGACTACACCTCCAACCCAAAGGTCTCCATTGGCAGGATGGACAACATCTGCAGACACTGCTCTGCCAAGAAGTGGCCAGGGGAAGCTCCAGGCATGTGCTGCACAGAAGGCAAAGTAAAGCTGGAGGCCCTCCAAATGCCACCACAGATCCTCAGGCAGCTGCTCTCACAAGACAGCCCACGTGCCAAGCACTTCAGGGACAACATCTGGAAGTACAATGCGGCACTCCTTGGTTCTCTGAAGATGGAACACCAAGAATGTTGTGTACCAAGAAGTGCTGCAGAACTGAACACAAGTGAAATTCTTGGGACAGATTTATAAAATCAGAATAAGGTCAATACAGCCGTCATGGCAGACTAAATTCTAGCTCTTTTCTCCTTTATCCCGGGCATCGTCAGGTAGCCCAGCTAGTAATGTATAGATACAAGAATGTAACCCAACAAGAGTAGGGTTACAACACGAGCCTATTCTTTTCTTTGGAGGAGCCCCTGAGTGATTCACTCAGGGCGGTTTTATGGTGCGTTTTTCGAGACTAGAACTTCCAAACTGGGTTTATTCTAAACACAAACCTTTCTCCACTATCCTGGGACTTACTATGTATCACAATACTCTGTATTAAACTAATATAACCTGTTACAAAATTTCGAAGTGACGAGCGGCGATATTTCGAATGCCATTTCTGTTGACCTGTGACGCGCCAATGCGTATAGCGTTCGGCTAACTTCGGCTCCAAGATCAAATGCATCATGGGATGCCTGTTGTCAGTCATGACGTCACCAGAGCCAGCATGTCAGGCAACACAGGAGCCGAAGTTAGCCGAATGCTATGCGCATTGGGAATGCGTACGTCACAGGTCAACAGAAATGGCGCTCAAAAGTCTCGAAAAACGCACCATAAAACTGCCCCGAGTGAATCACTCAGCGGCTCCTCCAAAGAAAAGAATAGGCTCGCGTTGTAACCCTACTCTTGTTGGGTTACATTATTGTATCTAATATAATGTATATCATATATTTACACATATACGTATCACGGGAAAATTGCTTTTTTTCACGGGAGCTCTTTTTCAAGTCTGTGGAAAAATAGCTCTTGTCAAAGAATTTACGGGAGCTATTTTGAGCCTCACGGGAGCGATTTCGGAGGTTTGAAGATCGAATCGCTCATCGCTCCCGTGTATTTTTTACCCCGATACGTATATATATATATTATATACATTACTACCCTTAGTCTACTCACAACTTTTTACTCATAACTCCATAAACATGAACCAAAAATGGCACATTACATGCTCTGTACCGATTACAATGCAGTATTTTATAGAACCACATAAGAAACAAACTAATAAATAAATAAAAATATATATAAACAAATATATACTAGCATAGTTATGCTATGCATGCATTGTAATTTCTGCCACTTTATTGACATTTATGTCCTCATTCTCTAGGAAGTTTGATATATACCAGCCTTCTGAAGATCTGGGTGGATGGGAATCACTCCTGGCATCTGATGATCGATTGCGAGCCTTGAACGGCGCCTCCTGATCTATCACTTGATAGTCTAGAGTGTGGCTCACTCTGGTGGCAAAGAATGGCATGTGTCGATTTTAAATATTATGAAAGTATAAATTTCCATAAATTTCATACTATCATACCAATTTTTTATATGTACTAACAGATCAATTTCTCATTGATCATCACAGAAGGCTTACAAGTAGGCCTAAATTTAATTTGTTCACCTTGCAACACAATGAATTAGATATATAATTACACTGAGCACACATGCATAAAATCCTGATACTCATATTAACCATAGCGAGAAATATAGCACCAGACAAATATAATTCCTTATCATCTTTATCAAAATATTTTAAAGGGCCACTTCAAATAAGCTAGTGACTCACAGCCAATCACTGGTCAGACATTCATACATGCAATGTGCATACTTATACATCAGGGTTTCTTCTGAGGGAAAATAGACAAAGGAGCTAGGTAATGGCCAGTTTGGGGGGAAAAACGTGCATGATGGATTCAAATACAGGATGTATTGATATACTTATAGGTATATAGATACAGGATATACTTATCAGTGAATACAGGAACATTTTCACAACGGAGATGTCAAATTTGACAACGGCGGTGTGCCACTGTGCCTCCTATGTATAAGAAACCCTGTACATGTTTACTATTCTAATAGGCAGACAGTAACATGGATAGAACACAGTTCGCTGGCACACACAGTAATGCATCAAAACACATTTTAAATCACAAGAGGTACCTACTCGTGCCCACCCAGTCGAGTCCCAATCACTGATGCATGTGGCTCCCTCCCTAGCGTATCACTGTCCTGGATATTCGACTCTTGGTAAGCCAACTTTCTGGCAGTCCTGCAATAAAATCATCATTCTAGAATGATCTCAATCGCATGTAAAACGTCTGTTACTGCTGCCTACATGATTTGGTAATCAATGCATATATGCATAATTGTCAAGGAATGTTTTGGAATTAGCAGCTACAGTCAACCACCGCATGGCTCACATTTCTATATGGAAATTCACTCATATAGAATATGCAAAATATGACAACTAAATTCGTGATGTAGAAAATAAAATCACTCTTGTAGAGAATTTCAAAAGAAAAAGTGACCTCAAGCTCACTACACAGGTGATTTTCAATCACACAACACCATCCAAATCGATGCTCACATGACCGAAAAATGCCAGTGATCACCAAGCTTTAAATACCATTGTATAACACACATATATACATGTATGGGGGAGAGCACACTTGTTTATATATATTCATGCTTGTACGGCATATGTACGGCACCTCCTTAAAATTACACCTACACATACTACCTGGTTTTTAGCCTACCCTCTCTTAATGACTTACCATATCCCTCCAAGTAATTAGTTAACTAGTTGATATTTTGAATTCAAGTCTCGTCTATTTATTACTATATTATATCAGAAAACATTCAAATTTACATCTTTAACAAGTGCCGCAGAGCGACAGCGCTCAACTGACGTGTACTGTAGCCGGGTATTCTTCTGATAAACTCACTGGCAACCGAATCAAGTGCGCCCTCCCGCCACCGCGTTCGCGCTCAGAGCATATATCTAGGATACTACTAATACAGATCTAAAATCTATGATAGGCTTTGCTTTACCGGTAGTACAGTAATAAAGATACACCTGTGTAACTTTAATGACTTCACTATATTAACATGTTATCATGGATATGCGTCGAGCGCGAGCGTAGTGGTGGTGGTGGGAGGAGGGTGGGGGAAGGGGAAGGGGAGGGGGCGGGTGAAGAGGGCTCTAATAACAAAAGCAGTCTAGTCCTTTGTTAACAGTCAACAAGTCCTTTGTTAACAGTCAACAAATCCGTGTTTGCCCCTCCTCTTGAGGGTCAAAAGGTTATCAGACACTTACTCTTCGCACGTCAGCGGAAAGCACATTTTATGGTCCTTTCAATAAAGTGATAAAAATGGTAGGTCAGCACTGAAAAAAAATAGTTTTGCCCTCGGTCCGTTAGACCATGTCCTCAGAAAATGTCTGATATCTGACCTTTCCTCCACTGCCCTTTGACCTCCAATTTCGCGCTGGTGATTGGTTTCCTCCCCATCACACTATACATCAAATATTAAGAGCTTAGGTAAAGCCGTTGAGATTTGTGCTGCAATTCCGTATTTCCTCCTGTACCTTAAGTTTCCCCTCCATTGACACACCTTGACCTTTGACCCTTGACCCCCAAATTCGACATCCCGCGTCCTTATCGTGACCCCCCTCCCCCACGTCCCAAATATCAAGACCGTACGTTGAGCGGTTAAGATTTGTGCCCAACTGTTGACGGACGCACGGACGCACGGACAATCATGCGATTCTACACGCTGCATCTGACTTCTGACACATCGTCAGCTGAGCTAAAACGTTTGTTTTCATATATACCTGTCCTAGTATTACTTCTATTTACTTCTGTATGAAGTCAGTTCTAATTAAATAGTATAAAACAAGAGGAAAGTTTAATGGTGTTCATACCAGGGTATTACAGAATTTGGCATTACAGCAGCTTTTCAAGAATGCGTCTCTTTTCGTAACTTGGGGGATGATTGTGCTTACATTTCGTTTGCCGCCTCCTCCTCGCTTTTGATCTTCTGCTGTTCGGCGATTGAGAGTTCCGGCGGGGATATTGGTCGCTGATCCTGTGCTTGCTGTGCCTGTTTCTCGATTTCCTTGAAGTCTGTTTTTACTCTCTGGGCGCCGAGGCCTCCCTTTTTAGCACATAGCTACAAAAAACAGGGTAAAGCATATTTGTAAATAAATCAATAAAAAAGCAGTGTTAGTGTAATAAAATCCCTCTTGATTACTAAACATTATAGTAAGGGTTACAGTAAGTATATATACATATGAAGAGATTGCAATGCTTTAACTATACATATTATCTTACTGATTTTATCTGAACTGCCAACACATATTTAACATATTTACAAGAGTAGATAATAACACTTGTGTTATTATCTACTCTTGATATTTATCATGCATCGAATAAACAGTTGTCTGAACGATTTAGCTGACGGCACCAAGCATTAACACCAAGCTATAGATAGTCTGATTCCACAGTTAATTCATACAGATACAGATACATTTCCACAGATACAGTAGGTATGCATCTTTTAAGCTGTTCTCACCCCTTTCTTAGAGGCAGCAGGTTTTCTGGTTGCAAGTGAAGATTTGACCTGTGCAACTGGCACTGGACCTTGCTTGGTTGTTTCAGGCTGTGCCTTATCTGTCAGTCCTGCCTTTCCTTGACCCACGAATTAAAAACCATTAAGAGATAGCAATGACTACGTTTATTACTACCATATTACTCCAACAAATTATGTTAAACAGTTTAAACTGGACTAGACGTAACTTGTTCGGTGATATTCAGATATGTCATACACCTGCCCCTGTGCTGCAAGCCCCACATACAAAGGAATCAGCGAAAACATGTAGCAATGCAGAGCGAACGCCACCCTGGCAACAGCTGCCGTGATTGCGCAATTAAATGCAAATTCACTGCGCAATTTATTGCTCTCAACATACTTTTCTCAACTGCTGTAATTCCTGCTGGTAGCTATTAGCAGGTAGCTATATGCTGGTAGCTATGCAGTATACATATATGGCAAGCATTCGCATTGGTGAAACAGAGACACGATAAAAATTTGAACCACGCCACGCGTTCGTTTAACGATCAAACAATTTTACGGTGTTGTGCACAAAGCAATGGTTCGCAAATACACTTAAGCGCATGGCCAATTCGCATTTCAGATGCATTTGAACAAATAGGCACATCGCGGACACAATCCTTTACCAGTAGTGTGCTACTCACCCTGTTGAGCAGTTATGGGAGATGGTCGGCTCAATGCTTGGCTCGGATTACTTGGTGTTATTGACACTGAACTAATTACTTCACTAAAGAAATCTCCTTCCTTCTTGTGTGAGGTCATAAGATCAGAACGTGTGTCGATGAAAAGCTGGAAGTTCAGAGGCAGAACAACGCAATAGCACACATGCCTGCTCAGCAACAATGATTTCGTGATCGCAGAGTCCTTGATCGAATATTATCCATCATTTTTATCAATACTATTCATCTGAAGCGACAGTAACACATCAAGTTCTTGTAAAAATTTACATATGCAGTCAAGTTTTAAATAAGGTCCTGGTGCATTCCTGTTTTATAACTGTCAAATTATTAACATAAAACTTTCCTCTTAAGGGTATGCACAAATAGTAGAATCCTGCCGGCTACTTACCTTTGTTCCGTGCATGCGCATGGCCTGGGTGGCAAGGTGATGGATTTTCTCCTTGTACAGTCTAGCAGCATGGCTATTGTACTTGGTATTCCCATCTGGCGACGTGCAGCCATGTTGAGCGAAAAATGCCTCCTATGAAAAAAACACACTCTATATAATTCATTTGTGGTGCTAAACTGTAAAAACGTATAAACTGTAACCATGACCAATTTACAGTAATTTAGCTACATGATGGTTATTTAAATTTTGCAAGAGGCCTTTATCTTCGGCTATGTTCACTATTATCTGTTATTATCATGGGTAAAATGTGGACACCAGGAACTTTCTTCAATTTGCAGGACTTTCCAGGACCAAACATTATGATTGCATATTCTCGCGGACTTTTGTGGACCACAGCCCGACCTCCATAACATTTGAAATTGAAAGACTTTGCAAGTTATTCAGGACCCATATAAACCCTGGTTAAACACATCAAAATCGATTACACTTTTCTCTAATAGGGCCTTTACACTTTTCTTTCTAGGGTCACCCACTGTAAAGGATAACACTGCACATGCAACACTGTTCCCACCTAGATACCAAGATACAATAATGTAACACAACAAGAGTAGGTGTCAACAACCCAACTAATGTAAGCCTACTCTTGTTGGGTTACATTACTATATCTTGGTATCTAGGTGGGAACAGTGAAATATCTACCAAACACCTACAGCATTAGCATTCCCCCCCAGCTGCATCGCTCGCAGCTGAAGCCATGTCCAATTCGTGTCCAGCTGTATGGACTTCACGAAGGAGAGGTGGACGCCGAGTGACCGGTGGACGGCCGAGCAGTCAATGCAGATGAACACTCCGAACGTCACAGAAGCCCACGTCGGGTTCTTGGACGAGCAGTCGGCGCAGCACTGGAATATCGAGAGATGGGTGTTAAAGATTGCGATGAGATCCATGCACGGCTGTAGCCTCTGGGATGGGGGGGGCAAGGGGGGCAGCTGCCCTCCTAGATGTTGGAGCAAAATTAAAAAATAAGCTTAGCTAATAATCGTAAATAACCCTAGAACGAGATTTTTTGGTCACTTAAGTGATAATTATCCGTGAAAGCCTCGTCTCAGACCCACCCCTACCACACCATGGACGTCGATAAAGAGCTGCGCCCGTCGCTCATCATTACACAGTTGAGTCATGAAATTTTGCCCCCCTAGGAATTTGCTCAGCCTATGGCCTTGCCATGCATCAACTTCTACAGCCCAATCCTAGATTTCTAGTTTAGCACCCCGAATTAGTTTAGCACATATGCGAACTATATATACCTGGATCCCAAACTAGGATTGAGCACTTTCTACTACTAGTACTACTACTAGAATAGCAAAGGAATATTTTTATGCCCACTACGTCAGGGCTGCCAACTCTCACGCATTGACCGTGAGACTCACGCATTTTGACCATATCTCACGCTCTCACGCTGATCTTACAATATCTCACGCACAGCCATAAAAATGCTGAGATATCTCACGCATGAATATCTCTTCATCAATAAAACGCTGAAATATCTCACGCACAGCAAAAAAAATCTTACAATATCTGAAAACAGTCACTTTAGTATGCACGAAATTGCACAAATTGAAGTTATAAAATGCAAAAGCTCCCTACCGTGGGAGGGGGAAACCCCCTTCCCCCCACCCTCGGTCGCTTCGCTCCCTCGCATCTCACTCTCGCCTATCACCCAATGTTGGCAGCCCTGCCACTACGTACACACATTTACACACTCACCAATGCCAGCTATAATACAGTGCAATTGTTACCTAATGATGCTCATGACATATATGTTCATTCCTAGATATGATAACATAACCCACCACTTTCTAGCTTCAAGAAACCACACTTATTTCAACATTCACATTGTACATACATTGCATGGTGTAAAAGTTTTATGTGAAGTCTTTACTGTCTATACAATCAATAAATCATCTCATGATACAAATCCGATTTCAAGTACGTCACGTATGAGTGTGCATATATGATTACACACGAAGAAGGTCCAAAGCGAACCTGACAATTAATTACTAGTTATTTGCGGTATGAACGATAAGAAATACACAGTGGCTATATGCCCGGCAGCCGGCGTATATCTGACGGCTGCCGGGCACGGTCTTCGATTTCCTAAATGCCCGGCAGTTTTTAATTTTTAGCGTTATCTCAAGTAAACAAGGGTTAGGGTTAGAGTTAGGATTAGGGTTAGGTTTAGGGCTAGAGTTTAGGGCTAGAGTTAGGGTTTTTGTTAGGTTTAG